GGCAAATTTTTTGGGGTTTGGCTTAAAACTCGTGGGGTTTTTATAACTTATTCTTCAATTTTTGAACTCGAGAATTATGAAACAATTAGACCAGGGTTTGTAACCAAAATAAAATAATAATAATAATAATAAATAATAAATAATAAATAAAAAGAAACTGAAATTAAAATTGGTGGCTTGGATTTAACCAAAATTTGGGTTTTTTTTAAAAAAAAAACTCAAATTTGATTCTAATTGAATCCCAATTGGATAGGTTTTAGTTATTGGGGTCTAGAAACCGAAAGCCGGGTACTTAGTTGAGTATAATGAAATTTTTGGACCATTTTTGTTTTTTGAAATTTTTTATTTTTGGGCCTTCTTAACTGTTTTCAATTCTTAGACTTCTTTTAATATTATTTTTTAAATTTAATACTTAATGAAATTTCTTAGACTTCTTTTAATATTATTTTTTAGACCTTCCCCTCCTCTTCCCACCTATTCCCTCTCCAAATATGGGCTAAATTTAATTTTTGGGTTAAACTAAATACTAAACCAAATGGTTATTTAAAAACAAAAAACAAAAAAAAAATTAAGTTAATAGTTACTAAGAATAAACAAACAAAAATTTAGTTAATCAATTATTTAATTTTAATTATAACTAAAATGAAACCGTACTCACCTCCCTCTTTCATCATATAGAGGGCATCCATTGCATAAATTCTAGAATTCATAATTAGATGACCTTAATGTGTCGTGTGCATACCATTTTAGACATAAAAAATTAATAATTTGAAATGAAATGACTCAAAGGATTTTTCATTTTTAAATTATAGTTTATGCTTAAATTCACACCCTTTTCTTTTCCCATTCAAAATATAACTCTACTATTTTAACACATTTCATAACAATAAACTGTTAATTTCTTTTATTGGGACATTCTGCTACAGTTATTTATTATTTTACTTGTTAATTTTTTTGGCTTTGTACTTTACATTTTAACTTTTAATTTTCTTAATTGTAATGGCTAATTGATTATACTGTTTGATTTCTAATTTGTTTAGGAGATAGACTTTAGTCTTTTAAGTAGTTTTTACTGGTGGTAAAGAATTTTTGTTAATTTCAAGTTGTTATAAGCTTATATTAGTCATCTTTTTATGTTGTTTTAAATCTATTCCATCATTATTTGTCAACTTTATCAACAAATATTTTTGCTTTGGGTTCAAGTTTTATTTTATTCTTATGTTAGTCCCTTACAATGCAAATCTAGATTTGTAGACTTGATTTGTTTTTGTTTTGTTTTATTTCAATTTATAATTTAATTTATTTGCATCTATTACTCTATTTTTAAAAAGGCTTTGCCTTTT